TCGGCTGCGCCTCGCGTTTTATATCTGATAAGACACTCCTACTCGTGTTTTAAATAGTACTTAAGCACATTTAAGAGTTTGCATGTTACGACAGTATTATTCGAAAGCCCTGCACAGTTGTTTTGATGCAGGACCCAAGAACATGGGAATCTGTATGTTTAAATTGTCTATATTGTCGAAGTTTGATCAATGTTATCAATCGTGTAAATTAACCTGACGAACTTTCCAAACAAAGAACTTGTTTCGGCTTCAGTACATGATATGCGCTATTTAGAACAACGAATTCCAAACAAGCAAGAAATGCAATGAAACTCGAGCATCTCCGTTCGAGTCTCCGTTTAATTTGAAATGATCAACTTTGCTTCTATGTGAGTGACAAAAAGATAACACAAAAGCGCGCAAAATTGGAAATTTGACACGAAGTATTCAATACAATTATAAATTGCGGTATAAAGTGCGCTCAAACTACACTTTTTGTAATTCAAACCAATACGTTCACGCCTTGCCAACGAATTTTACTATTGGAAAGTGAAAGCATTGTAATTTGAGATTGTCCATCTCTGCCTTGGTAATTTAATATCTTAGGACACCAGGGACACCAGGGACACCGGCACCAGGGTATTTCCGCAGCAGGGTACCCTGGGTACGAGGTTGGACTGAACTTTGGCCAATCTCGTTCCCGTAGCCTGCGATCCTCGGGAAGGAACGCGAGGCTCTGGTATAATCCGTTTCAGGGAGGAATCTGATTGGCCGTTGAAATGGAATGTGTAGCTATAGTTCAATCTTAGCCAGAATTTCTGGCTTCCGGCAACGGATTCTTGTTGTACTTGCCATCGCATGATTACTTATGACTACTAATATATATTCTGAAAGCAGAGCCTCATTTCCCCTCGCGTAGAAAATACTAAGGCTCTGCCGTTTTTGTGTTTTTATTCGTCCAAAATTATTTTTAAAAAATGAAGTCGCCAATAGGATTGGTGTGAGATTAGAATTATAGATTAGGGTTAGACTTAGAGTAGGAGGTTGGGTGGGGGTTAGATTTCCCCCAGGCGTCTCTTTGTAGAAAAATAGTGGTGCGCATAGGACGAGCTAAAATGAAGCTAGTATTGTAGTGGGGATAGATGGGCGAAGGGGCTGATGGGAAGAGTGCACTTGAACTGCGAGATGCCTGGAAGTTCTTGGTCGATTTCTTGCAAGAAAGTCGAATTCTTGCAAGTTGTGATATTTCGTTGTCGTTTACGATTTTTTGCTACTTGTTTTTGTTGAATTGACTAATGTTAATATTCTTCTGTCATCTGGGCGTGAATTCATGCTGTATGGTATATATTGCCTTATTTAAAGTCCATGGAAATTCCAATATTAACATGTCAACAACCGAAGCGTTGAAGAACTTGACTTGCAGGAACTAGATTTGTAAGCTATAACTATATAAAGGTACAAACTATAAAATTGCACTGTTGTAATAAATATTTCAAACTTTACGGCTGTGAATTTTTATTTTCTTAGGCTTTTGTTTACAGTATACTTTTAATAGAAATTGCCGTTGGCATTGCGATCGACTGATCGAGCCTTCAGCTAAAGAAGTTATTAATACAAAAGCAATTATATGACTTTCTAATCATCTCTCTGTTACTATTTTATACTAAGCAACTGATAGCATTCTATTATTCTGCATGTAATACCGAATGACATATTCGAAATATTCGCACGGTAAACTTGCCATGTAATTTACTCATAATTTTTCGGGCATTTTGCATGTCATCAAACATATACAAATTTATTATATAGTTTGCCAATGGCGTTCAATTCGACTCTTCGTCAAAAAATAAGGTTTTACACACAGAGTATATAACGATATGGTAACATTTTGTATTAAATTCCATGTCAGTTTCCCGCCATGACAGTATACAAGAACTGCCAGGCGCTCCCCAGCACGCACCCTTCCCAACAGATCCTTCGCGCGTCGCCTACCTACATGAATACTTCATGTATTGTAATTATTTAAAGCGCCTGGGTACGAGGCAGTATTTTGACCATTAGGGAGTTTAAGCTTCACGTTTCTGGGAATGGCAAACGGCAGGTTCGAACTTTCTTCGCAAAATTTTAGTTGAACGTTTTCATTTCACTTATTTTCTTTCATGCGTCGAAACAATAATTATGTATTTCAGTTTTAAAACAGCAAGTTCATTTACTCTTAATTGCCGGATACTATCATTGAAATAAGGCGAATGGTTAATTGAAGATTATCATTAAAATAAGGAGTGAGGACATGCCGGATTGGTTCTCTAAATTTAGCAATAGCAGTCATTCTATAAACACAAGTTATCTTTGACATGTTTTGACATAATATTGGAAACCGGTGGCGGAAATTCACTTTTTCCGGTGGGGGGCAAAGCCTCCTAAATTTCCGACAACTCCCCCCCCTGTTGGAGGGGAGGGGGGGCGGTCGCCCCCCCCCCCCGCCGCACCGGAATTTCCGTCACTATTGGAAACTGAGCATGCTCGACAGAAATTAAACACGAAAGCAGCAGAGCCTTATTTTCTACGCGAGGGGAAATCAGGCCTGCTCTCAGGGATTTCCAACCGATCTGACCAGAGGCTCTTCTTTCTCACTTCTCATTTCTTTCGCCTCGCAAAGAGCCTCTGGAACCAGGGTAGCTGCTAGCTATAGCGCGAGAATAATTTCATAATTGTTGATAAAAAGTACAAGTTTTTGTATCTTATGAAAAAATAAATCACGATAAAAATTTGTAAAAAAGAAACGAATATCAGGAAATTAATCTGTCCATTGTATAAGTATATATATACATAATTATATTTTTGAATTTTATTGCTAATTATTAATATTTTATTATATAAAGTATAGTGCTTTATAGAGATTTCGAGCACTGATAAAACTGATAATCTCACATGCGAGATTATTCATGATAATTTCACATGTGAAAATTATCGCTTTTCAATTATCGCTTTTCAAAGACTGTCCTTTATATAACAAACATGCAGAAACTTTTTGAAAACAGGAAATTAATAACAATATAATATAATTCTAATACCTATTTACTGCTAATAATATACATATAATGCTAATACCTATTAACAATACTATATAATAAACAGAAATATATAAAAAATGAAAAATTAAATATTAGAATTCGCATTACATAGAGAATAATAGATGGTGCTTGGAAATACCAGATTTATTTCTCGTGCGCTCACTCGTGAGATATCATGTTCAACACGAGAAATAAATGTGGTATTTCCAAGCACCATGTATTATTCTCTATGTAATACGAATTGTAATATTTATTGTAATAAAGATAAAAATATGATAGCGTTGCATCATTATGTATCTATTTACCATATATTTACAGTTATACTTCAGTAGGGCGCTGGGCGCACCAGGTGCAATGCAACTCAAAGCTAGAGTTAAAGGGGCAGTGTCACAACGCTGATTGGCTAAAATAAGCGTTTAAAATTAATGCTACATGATTAGAAAAGATGCAGCAGCCTTCAATTTTTAAAACAAACCAAGGATGTCCTGCATAACGAAGGGATTATAAATAGTATATCGTATTTCACTCCTAACTTGATTAATTGTTGGCAGACAGTTTTTCAAGTTTGTGCATATTTTGGATGCGCAGTAGAATGTGACACTGCCCCTTTAACTGGACACATGGCCAGTTAGGCCAGTTAACCCGTTAAGTACCAGAACAATCTCCCCTTGAAGAGTAAAATCGTCTGGTGTTAAACAGAGTAAAATAATAAAGTAGGGTGCAATGTGATTCATTATGTCAGCTGTTTGTAAGCAAGGGCGGATTTTCATATTTTTTAAAGGAGGGGTGGGAAAATTTCTAGTAGGTTGCAAGTGGAACCACTGAGCGAGATTCGGCATGGGTTAGGCGTTGGAGTTAAAGAAAGTGAAGTGAAATTTAGGTGGGGTTAAACACTTTATAAGAGGGGTTAGAGAGATTCCAGGGTGGTTTAAACCCCCCCACCCACCCCCCAGTAAATCCACCCATGTTTGTAAGCTTTGAAATAGGTACAAGTTCAATTTCAAATTGTTGTATTAAGTTATATCATAGTTTCTGTTTCCCAGTGATCTATGCTAGTATGTATAAACTTGCCCAAGCTTTTTCTTGTCACATTTTGAGCTGGGTTCATATTGAATAAAGATTGCTAAATATATTTTAGGAGCCGACAATAAGTAGATTTTGATCTTCATTTGCAAACTTGTCCAACAAAGTGGGAAATGGTGTTATATCGTACCAATAAGCTGCCCTGATCACAGTCGTTGAATGGCGAAGATATAATTATATTATATCTATTATAGATATAATTTTTATATCTATTATAGAACTTAACTACAATGAACATATAGACGAGCCACTAGTCTGTGATGGGAAAGAGGGTTGAAACAATCACAGCACAAGTTTGCAATTGAAGGACAATTTATTTGTCGACAATCCCTATTATTATAAATACAAGTATAAACTATATGAGGATTTTGCTTACACATTACTGTACATAAAAATTATATAAACTATATATTTAAAATGTCTACATGTCAAATTGAAAAATATTAATTCCACCATATAAATATATAATAACATAGAAGTGGTATTTTCAAAAATCAGCATTTATGCTGTTTAGTTGCATTTCACACGACCGAAATTCAATACGGGCGGAGGTACATATATGCAGTCTCTGAGTGCCCTCTAGTTTCTAAGTGTGATGCTTGCGTGGAAAACAGAAATTGTCAGCCGTCTGAAAAACTGATTCCTCATGAAGTTCCATCAACTCCTTGGGAGAAAGTGGGAACTGATCTGTTTCAGTTGAAGAATAAAGATTACCTGATTGTTGTTGACTATACATCGAAGTATTTCGAAGTAAGTGCTCTTCCAAATACCCTAGCCTCGACTGTTGTGCAACAAACCAAAAGTATATTTGCTCGATTTGGTATACCTAAGACTGTAGTTAGTGACAATGGTCCTCAATATTCTTCGCATCAATATAAAACATTTGCGAGAGAGTGGGGTTTCCAACATGATACGTCAAGCCCCAGATACCCAAAGAGTAATGGATTCGTAGAAAGAGCTATTCAAACTGTAAAGAAGACCATAAAAAGGCTCTTAAAAGTGGCGATGACCCTTGCCTTGCACTGCTTGCATTACGTTCAACTCCTGGAACTGACAATTCCCCGTCCCCAGCATTTAAGTTAATGAATCGCCATATATCTTCGAACGCCCCGACCTTCAATAAAAACTGAGAAAACATCACCTACTTTGCTTGGGTCACAAAAGGTTAAAGAGTATTATGATCAACATACAAAGAATTTGCGACCTCTTAAAAAGGACAATCAGTACAAGTTAGCGATGGTAAATCATGGCATGTGAAGGGAAAAGTAATGGAAAGAGTTGAGCAGCCAAGATCTTATGCTGTTGAAACAGAGAAAGGAACAATCATTCGTAGAAATAGAAGAGATCTTCTTAGCACGCCGGAAAGATTCGATCTGCGTGATGCCGTTGATGATGAAATGGAGATACCACCTAACCCTTTAGCGGTACAACTACCACAACCAAATCAACCAACCTTACTCCCAATCATCCACCTTTACTCCCGTCAAGATCTATACTTCTGATCGTTCTGCGCCGCAATCAAGACAACCTTGTGTTCGAAACAACAGTGAACAGGGTATCCAAATTCGTTCTGGTAGAGTTGTAAAGCCACCTACTCATCTGCGAGACTTTGTGAGATCATACTATCATAGTATAAACAATTATTTCTATATTGACTAGAACTTACTATTAAACCTGACTTTATTTACTTTTATTTTCAAAACATTTACTTAAAAAGGGGGTTGTAATGATTATGTTAATTTATTTATATTATTGCCTGCATGCCTGGCAATACGCCTGGAAGCCTGAGACTATAAAGAAGCATGTTGTTTTGTTTAACTATAACACAATTTAGTATTGCTGTATTGGGCCTGTTGGCTTTGCTTTAAATTATTAAACATATTTTACTTTTCTTGGTCATGTCTCTTGATCACAACATCCCTAAATCCATAATTGATGGCAGCTCTGAATCAGGTCGAAAATCCTTAAAAATAACTTTAGTGGCTCGTTTCCAAAAAGAAGCTAATTTATGCAGTTGTGTTGACGTTAATTTAAGATTCAAAATTCCACAGTATGTCAGAAGTGGTGTGATCATTGACTGATCAATCGTCAGTCTCGCAGAGTCCACGTTTCAATTATCTCTAATTTTGGACAGTAGACGTAACCTTGTTGATGCACGTTTAAAACAAGCCTCAAAGTGAGTGTTAAGATTTAATGTGGAGTCAACTTCAACACAAGGCAGGATAGGCCTGTTTCAAACGTCGCGCTTCTCATGTGCCGAACCGCATTAAAAACTAGAGGGCACTCAGAGACTGCATAACTCCGCCCGCATTGAAATTCGGTCGTGTGAAATGCAACTAAGACAATAGATAATAAGGCTGAAGCTTAATGAGGTTTATCATCTCATTATTGTCTTAGTACTGCGTGCATACATTATACACATCCTAATTACGCATTTAGTGAGTTTTTTTTAATTGACCGGGAAAAGCAAGACAAAATTTTGTTCATTTCTCGTTCAATTTTTAACCAAATTCGACCAAATTTTAATCGGTTCTTACTTAGCCGATGGAAAATGCATTCAAAGAATTTCGTATGAATATGTTTGGTATTTCTTGAGTTATCGTGCTCACCGCCGAGACAAACACACACACATACACACAAACATACACACACACACATACACACATACACACATACACACATACAAACCCAGATGATTACATAACCTCCTGGCGGAGGTAACAATATCAACAATTTCACTAATCATACCTGGCCAATAAAGTGTTGATCTGGCACGAGCTTTACACTTTTCTATTCCAAGATGACCATGATGGATCCTTTGTCGCATTTCATCTCGAAGACTTGATGGTACCATGGTTCTGTCACATTTGAGCAAGACGTCTTCATATAGCGTGATTTCGTCTCGAAAACTGTAATATGGCCTTACAGCAGGATCAACTTGTCTCGCCTTGTCTGGCCATTCATTTAGTACACAATTCTTTAATTTCTGTAAATCAGGATCCTTTGAGGTCTCCGTAGCAAACTCGGACAATTTCGACTTGGAAATTGTTCCCTGATCATTAATCATGTGTACAAATTAAAACAATTTAGTTCACATTCAGGTATTTCCAGATTTGAAACATCTAAGAATGCACGACTGAGTGTATCTGCTACAGGAATGTCCTTTCCATTTATACAAACTTGAAAGTAAACATATAAGGCTGAAGCCTTAGCAGGAATCTTTGAATTCTTGCTGGCGCCTTAATCAGTGGCTTCCAAAATATTGCTTTCAAGGGCTGGTGATCATTTTCAACAACAAGGCTTTGTCCATAAAAATATTCCTTAAATTTCTCACAAGTAAATACAACACTGAGAGTCACCTTTTCAATCTGAGTGTAGTTTTGCTCAGACTGAGTCAATGAACCGGAGGCAAAAGCTACAGGTTTCCACTTACCCTCCTCTCGTTGCTCAAGAACAGCTCCAAGACCAAACTTTGACGAATCCGACGTGACTTTAATTGGATCTTTTGGATTGAAATATTTCAAGACTGGAGCTGACGTTACCATTTCTTTTAGCCTTTTCACTACATTTTCTTGCTCGGCTTCAAAATGCTATGCAGTGTCATTTTCTAGCAAACAACGTAACGGTACAATAACACTGGCCAAATCTGGCATGAACTTAGACAAATAGCTACACATCCCAAGAAATCTCTGTAGTTCAGTTTTATTGTGAGGAACAGGCATGTCAATGATTGCCGAAATCTTTCTTGGGTCAGCATCGACACCAGTACATGTCCGAGAAATGTGATTTGAGTAACACAGAATTGACATATTTTCAGGTTCAGCTTGAGACCAGAGTCTTTAATTCTAGACAACACCTCGTGTGGACAATGATCGTGGACTTCTTTTGTGTCACCCCAAACTATGATATCATCTTGATCGTTTGCGGCTCCTTCGATACCTTCAATAATTTCTGCGATATCCAACTGAAAAATTGAAAAATTTTGGATGCATTTGAGACACCAAAAGGTAATCTATTAAATTTATATCGTTCAAACGGGCTGTTGAAGCACAACAACTTCGAGCTTTCCTCATCAAGCTTGGTTTGCTAATATCCTGAAGAAGCGTCCAGCTTTGAAAAATACCGAGCACCAGTCATCTTTGAGATAATATCCTCTGCGGTAGGTAGTTGTAGATGAGATCTTTTGATGGCTTGGTTTAGATCCCTCGGATCAAGGCAAATATGAATACTTCCATCTGGCTTTTCAACAACTACTAGACTTGAAACCCAATCTGTTGGCTCAGTGACTTTGGATATAACCCCAAGTTTCTCCATTCTGTCAAGTTCTTCTTTAAGTTTAGGTTGGATGGTTATAGGAACACGTCGTGGAGGGTGAATAACTGGCGGAACACTAGGGTCAATAACCATCTTATGAACTTTGGGCAGAATACCAAGTTCTCCAAAGCAACATTCAAATTCAGAGATGAAGCTGGGCAATTGTTCCTCCTTTGGTTTTACTACCATCACACATTTAACTAAGTTTAAGTTCTCACATGTAGAAAGGTCCAATATTGGTAGTGAAGTCGTTTCTGCGGCAATAAACAGAACAGGTACATCACGATTCTTTTTATGGGCAACTCGAACAATACACTTTCCAACAACAGGAATATTAGTTCCATTATAAGCAGTTAGCTTCACTTTCGTATTCTTTAACTTTGGCTTTCGTATCAACCTATTATACTGAAATTTTGGTAAGACATTAACTTGGGCACCAGTATCTAACTTGTATCTGACATCACTACCATTAGTGTCCATGTCAACTGTCCACTCCGGACTCAATCTCAGACTCGGAACCAACAGTAAAAATTGTAAATTTATTTGACTCAGTTTTCTTAGTGGTTGAGTTCCTTTCTTCTCCACTTATAACAGGGTTAGTCCGAGTCTCAGTAGTGTCTACATTAACACTTCCTACAAAAAATGTGTCATCGGGTGCATCTTCAGAATCACTGGAGTCACAATTAACGTTTTTGACAGACTTGTTTTTTTCTGGACAGCACCTTGCAAAATGATTAATTAAACTTAGAACATTTCATGCATTTTTTCCCATAGGCAATACAGTTTCCCCGTTTATGAGAGTATGAGCAAAACTTACAATTTTTAATTAGGGACTTATGGTAACCAACTGATTCTTTGCAAGAGCTTTTCTTTTCATCTCTTGCAATCTTCTTTCAACTAACAGCGTCAACAGAATTCTTGCCATCGACTTCTTTCTGGAGCTCTTTTGCATGTCTCTTCGTCTCCTCAGCAGCATGTCCAATTTGTATAGTTTTCTGCAGTGTTAATTCTCGCTCTCTAAGAAGACGTTCACGAAGACGGTTGTCAGTTAATTCCGCATATTATAATGTCACGGATGAGGCTTTTACGAAGTGCTTCAAACACACACTCAGCACTACGCTTTTTTAGCTCAGTAACGAACTCATCAAAAGATTGACCATCTCTCTGCTTACATGTAAAGAATTTATGGCGCATAAATGTAATATTCTTTCTTGGACTACAGTAATCTTGAAACATTTGTACTACGACTTTGAATTTCATTTCCTCTCCTTCTACGAACTGAAACCAGAGGCGTAGGAACCGGGGGGCACGGGGGGCACGTGCCCCCCAAATTTGGTCAAAGGACTAAAAGTGCCATTTTTTGTGATGAAAAGTGCCCTTTTTGTACAACCTAATGTCGCTGTAAATACTAAATTAACATCAAAGGTGCCCTTTTTGTTTGGAAATTTACAAGTTTTTAAAAACAGTTTGGTCAAAAACGTGCAATTTCGGTATGGTACGACTGGAAAATTTTTCTTCTTCCCCACCTCCGTCGCCAATATTTCCGGGGGAAATTTTTTAGGTGCCCTTTTCAATACCCTAAAGTGCCCATAGAAGTCGGTGCCCCCCCCCCCCAATCTTTTGATGCTTCCTACGCCCCTGACTGAAACGTATTATAAATTTCTCTACGTTGCTTTCCGACGCATGTGAGAAGTATTGATGTGTTTATTTTGTCAGATTTTCCATCCTTCTCAGTAGCAGTAAGATAGAGGTCTAGTTCTTGGCGCCACTTCTGCCAATTTTCACTAAGGTTGCCTTCGAACCTTAAACAAGATGGCGGCTCAAATTTGTCCATTTCGCTTCACCTTTCAGATCTTTAGAGCTTATATATAACCAAATGCGGAACTTAACGACAACTTTATTGTTTAAATTACTCCTGACACCATGCTGTGATCAAGAGACATGACCAAGAAAAGTAAAA